GTCTATAGCTCCTCCTACTCGGTATTAGCAGTCTTCCCATGAATCTATGCGCTATGCAAGATCAATCCTCATTTCCAATCTTATGCCCTTGGAACGCCTCAACCTCTCACAGAATTATAATGATGATGTTGGAAATGGATTACTGGTGATATTAGTGAAGGTTTCTACTTTAATATTGGTCAGGAATATGAATTATAATCAAGTTACGGAACTTACTTCGAGAGAGATTCTCAAGGGCTTTTCCCAGCTTCTTGCTCTCTTGAAGGATGTGGTTCAGTTCATCAAAATCACGCCTTTCTGGTTTAGTCCGCCAGTTCCACTTAGGATGATCTACTGACCTTGGCACTACATTTAAAAACAATGATTACTTCATAAGCATGCTACATAGTGATAAAAACTTACTATTCATTGTTACATGAAAGACTGGATCAAGATCAATGTACACAATAAAAACGTTTGTTTTAGAAATGGTTATCTTGTGGGCAAACAGTGGGGAAGTTATTAAGCAGGGTTTTAACAAATGTTTTAAATGAACAAGTAAAGGGAAGTGTGACAGTGCTTACAGAAACAAGAAAATACAGATACACATTTAAAACTAATAATTTCTATAATTTAGGGAAAAACACACAAGCGAAGTATATTTTATGTTATGTTTTAGCAGCTTAAAATAACCACTAACTTCTTCATCAGTAATTAGTAAATATTTATAAGATATTCTTGCTGTCTTCTGAAAAACATAGAAGACTAAATACATGTATTTATTTTTGCTTCCCTCCAAATTCTCAAATTATATTATGGTGAAATAATTCTTTTTTTCTTTTCTTTTTTTGTCAAAGTATTAGTTGAACAAAGAGAGAAGACATTATCAGGCAACAAATAGCAACCTATTTTCTTGGAATATGCAAATGGATTGAGGAGTAGCAATGGATTTAGAAAGCTAGAGAATACTGAAGCCTAATCCCCAAATGGAATTTCGGATCATTTAAGTATTAAAACATCAATCAAGGAGGACTAATATCAAAGTAATAGGATATAAAACCTTAATTGTTTTTCAGATCAGAAGACTTCATTAAACGTCCAGTATAGCTTAAGGCATATTATCACAAAATTTTACAACAGCGGTAATAAAGGAAAGATCGTAAAAGCTTTCAGGGACAAAACCAGCAAATCAAACCATCATTAGACTTCTCAATACAATGCTTGGCCCCAGAAGACATGGGAGAAATTCCTTCAAAATGTCAACTAAAGATTACTCCCAGTTTAGAATTTTATATCCAACTAACGGACCAAGCAAGATACTTATAACGACTCAAGATTTATCTTGCAAGCATTCTTTTTGAGAAAGCTCTTAGTGGAGTCGCTCCAACAAAATGAAAAGTGGAATGAGCTGGAATTCAGGAAACAGATGATCCACCATAAGAAAAAGGAAAAGGGACCCCCAGGATGATGGTGAAGGACAATCTTTGGAGACAGCCGAGAAAACGGCTTAGAGACCAAGGAGCCCAGACTGGACCAAGAGGACCGGGGCTACATGAGACGGAGCCTAACAATTTTCAAATGAAATCAAGTATAAAATATAAAATAAGATAGAAGTTAGGATTACTTGATGCATTTGATCATATTGAGTGTTTCATATTTTAAGGCAGGGCTTGGGGAAGCATTTGTGATGGAAACAGAAATCAAACAGAAAAACAACTCAATTATTAATTCGAGAAATAAATTAATAGACTCTTATGGCTCTACTGTGAAAAAGGCTAATTAATATAGTCATACTAACACCAATGCAGAGTATATATTCAACCAACATTTGAAATATCTGCATGACTGTAGTGGGGGTATGAGGTGGAGGATGGGGTACAAAGCACAGAGTCTTAGAAGGAGGTCAAGAGATGATTCCTCAAATTTAAAAAGTAAAAGAGAACTGTATTAAGTACGTTGTATGTTTAGATGTGTAGACTTGTGTACCAAAAGAAACATCTGAGTTAAAAGTGGTTCCACATTAGAAGCAGGATAGGGGAGAAGGACATTGTAGCCTTGTAGTATGTACTACTTTACTTTTTAAAACATACATATTTTTGTTTTGATAAAAATAAATAAATTTTAAAAATATTTATATGGTAAGGCTATAAGAAAGGCAGACTGTTGAAATGTCTTTTCTGCCACCTATTTAAAAAATAATATGGCAATATCTATTATAATAAAAAAATATATATACTGACCATCTGACCCAGCAATCTAATGCCTGATAAATTACAATAAAGAAATAAAGCACCTATACTTATGTATAGATTAAAATGTTTATTTTATAAGGAAGTGGAAGATACCAATTTGTTTATTTCAGCAAATTGTTCGTAGTGGCAAAACTCTGGAAATAATTTAATGTCTCTTAAATTGTGGTACAGTCACACTATGCCTCAGTATGTACTTACGAAAAAGTGTAACTTATTGGCAGGGAGCTATGTCCACAATGTATTTCAAAATAATAAAAACATGTTACTTATGAATGTGTACAGTTTAAAGCCAGTTTTAAAAAGCAAGTCAACTCACATATATACTATATGCTAGTTTGTACAAAGAGGAGGATGTAAAAAAAAAATGCACCCTCTTTCAAAGGACGTGAAAAGATACAAACTATTTCTGAGGAAGTAGCATTTGAGGGGGCTGTAAAGGGAGAGACTATCTTTCTACATGTCTGTATTTTTTAATTGTCAACATAAGGAAATATCACTTCTATAATTTAAATACATCTAAAATTAAGAAAATATGCACAGAACGCAGCTGCTTCCTCTGTGTTTCTTTGCTTAAGGGACTCACAGATGGAGATGCTAGCAAACAGCAACACACTGGTGTTGAAGCAGTGAGCAGTGGAAAGGGTGACTGTGGCCAATGGCTTCAGAGAACACTTGCAGGCATATTGATATCACCCCACAGGTGGTCCCCTCAGGGGATCCCTGGGAGGAAGCCCAGGCACAGGGGAGGGAAACTCAGAAGAGAAGCAGGTAAAACTTATTTGTACACTATTGAAACTATTATTTGTACCCTGTCCTTCAAAGCATTGACTGGTACTTTTGCTAACCTTTGTCAAGTACTTGCTCTAATCTGCATCATCGCATCATCTAATTTTCCTTGCTATTACCATATGCTATCAAGAGTTCTCTCTTTTTGTGATTTACAAGATAAGAGCATATATTTAAAAAAAAATCAGCCCCAATCAATATTCCCAGATAACCACCTGCCATGCCCTAGCTGCCCGCCACCCCAGGCATTGCAGACATATCACCTGAATACATCAACAAGCCCAGGTGACACCAGCAGAATGGCCCAGTCGATCCAATGAATCATGAGAAATTAGAAATCGTTATTTAAGATAACTGAGATTTGGTGAGGTTATATGAAGCCCAATGGAGAACTCCTGGCCTCGGGGTGACCTTTGCCTCAGTGAGGTCACAGGCTCATCCTCTCAGATTCTGTCACCTCGTACGGGTCATATTATATTGTTGCTACTGTTCTGCTCTTTTCCATTTCTCCAGAGGATATATTTTTTTAAATGTATTTAAATTGTAGCCTGAGTTTTAAGATTAAGTATAACATTAGTAAGGTTTTTAAACCAACAGAAACTTCTAGAAGTGTTCTCATCTGAAGGCTATATACTGGGCTGATGATGACCTCCCAAATCTTCCATTATTTATCAAAGCATCTGTTCAAATCACCCAGCGTAGTTGATTAGACCATGATCATACTGTGGCTTTGGTTGTTCTAGATTTGGTTCCCATGATAAATTAGATATCATGTGTGTATCGAACTTTTATAAGCTACAAATTACCAAAAAAGGAAAAAGTTTCCTTAATTCCTCTTGAAAGTTGCCGAAGAAAGTCCTTGAGTTGTGTCAGTTCTTCATTGTGCTTCATATAACCTCGCCAAATCGCAGTTATCTTAAATAACAATTTATAATTTCTCATGATTCATTGGATTGACTGGGCCATTCTCCTGGTCTCACCTGGGCTTGTTGATGTATTCAGGTGATAGGTCTGCAATGCCTGGGATGGGGGGCAACTAGGGCATGGCAGGTGGTTATCTGGGAATATTGATTGGGACTGATTTTTTTAAAATATATGCTCTTATCTTGTAAATCACAAAAAGAGAGAACTCTTGATAGCATACGGTAATAGCAAGGAAAATTAGATGATGCAGATTAGAGAAAGTACTCAACGAAGGCTAACAAAAGTACCAATCTATTTCCTGAATAAGTTGCATATGGTATTATGTCCCCTTCAAATGTCTAAATTCCCCCCATGAAGCTACCTTGGAATGTAATTCTCTTTGTAGGAAACTGTTTAATGGTAAATTCAATTTTAAAAAACTGACATAGGACATTTAAATATTTCTATTTCTTGTTGAATCAGTTCTGGTAATTTTTATCTATCAAGGAATTCATACTTTTCATCTAAGTTGTTTATTTTATCAGCAAAGTTTTGTTCAAACTATGCCCCCATTTACTGTTTTATAGCTTCAAAATCTGTAGGTTTTTTTCCTCTTTCACTCCTGATATTTGTAGTTGGGTTTTCTCCTTTTTCAAATCAGTCTTGCTAGGTTTTATCTTTTATTAATCTTTTCAAATAATCCAACTTCTGGATTTGTTAATTTTTTCCTGTTTTTTCATTTCAACTTCTGTTATTATTTTTATCATTTCTTTTTCTCTACATTTCCTTGTTTTAAGTCATTATTTCTATTGATAAAGTGAAAGCCGAGATCATTGATTTTACATATTTTTTCTAACATGGGATTTTAAAGCTATACACTTCCTCCTAAACACTGCTTTAGCTTCATCTTACAAATTTTAATGTTTTATTTTTCAAAATGTTCTTTACTTTCCTTTGTGATTTTGTTCTTGACTCATGAGTTGCTTGGAATTGTGATTATTTTGAAATATTTGTATGGAAATTTCTAGGTTTGTTGTTGTAACTTAAGTTGAATTTAATACCACTTTGGCAGAAAACACACTCCATATAATTTCAATCATTTTTTATGGTACAGAATATGGTCTATCATGATGAATATTCCATCTGGAATTGAGAATTACATATATTCTAACTTCACTGATTACAGTGCTCTATAAATGTCAAGGTGATTGCAGGTGTTCAAATCTTCCCATATCCTTACTCATTTTTTGGTCTATTTATTCTATCTGCCTGTATCTTCTTCTAATTCTAACTTTTCCCTGCATGTCATTGGGAACTTTGTTTTGGGGTGTCTTTAACTCTAGTAATACCCTTCACCTTGAATTCTACTTGGTCTTATATTACCAAACCATTAAGTTTCCTCTATGTTTAGTATTTTAAACTATTTGTGTATTTATGCTTAACATGTATCTTGTAAACAATCTAGATTTCTATCTAGCCTGGAAAATCTTTGCTTTTTAACTGAGATGTTTAATTTACTTATTGTAATTATTTACATTTATTATAATTATTGGCATGTCTGTACTTAAGCCTACCATCTTGGTATTTGATTTCTATTTTTCCAATCTGTTCTTTATTTCTCTGTTCCTCTTTTCTTGTATTTGTTTTGGGAGGATGAATCCTATTTTTATTTTGGTATTCCATTTTTAACTCATCTGCAACTTCTTATTTATGCCTTTTTGTGCTTTTTAGTGGTGCTTTACATAATATAGTATGCATCTTTAACCTATTGCAGTATGTACTTCAGGAATAATTTAATATACACATTTCCAGTTAATAATTTTGAATTCTGGATTATTTTTATAGGTATATATGACATATCTACATATACTATAAAAACTCACTTTGCTATTATTTTTGCTCTACAAAGCTAGCTAACAGTCTGATGGAACCAGAACTTGAGAGCAGGTCGCCTGAACAGAAAGAGATATCATGCGATGCCAGACCACCAGCAACACTCTGTGGCTTGGCAGCATCCCGTGGGAACACAAGCTCTGCAGAATGAGGAGAGTTTTAGCGCTGTACCCCCAAGTTGTCAGGACCCAGGACCAACCCCTTTATAATTAGTAAGCCTCTAGGGTTATGGATTTATCAGTGGGGAAGGGGGTGAGGAGGAAGCGGGAGAGAGAGAGAGGGACAGAGAAACAGACAGATGGATTTACCCAGGATGGAAAGGGCAATGTGACAGGAGGCTTGGTTCACTCCATTTTTCATTTATTCCTTTATTCATTTTTTTCTTTTAATTCTTATTAATTGAGCCAGGTACTACGTTAGACATTACTTGGGGATATAGTTGTGAACAACACGTGTAAGTTTTAAACTTGTATATTCCAAAAAGAAGAAAAAAATATTGGGGCCTAATTTTATAAACCAAACTGGCTTATAAGAATACTTGAAGTTTTTAATACTTCACATAACTCTCACAAGAATTCTGGGATTCATACAATACTCTTAATGAGTACCACTACATAAATAAACTCAAGTTAATTTCAGCCACTTTCACAAATGACCTAAAATCAGATTCTATTGGGTTGTCAGAAAAGTCATGACATATTTTTTCTATGTTTTTCGTTGCAAAAATGCATCATGACTTTTCCGACAACCCAATACTTAGCACATAGTAGCTTTTCAAAACTTTCAAACAACTATTTTCTACCTACTCCTTTCTCTGTTGAAATTAAAAGGAAACATCTCACTCTGTAACAGCAAGCACAAGACACTGATGTATAACAACCACTTTCAAGCTCTCCTGTCTTCCAAGAATAACTGACTTGCTATAGGCTTCTAGGCTGCTTATCTGGCATGTTTACTCATACATGGTGGTAGCAAAGCACTGAAGAAACTCAGTGGCTATAAGGCAGTAGAAAAGCAGAAGAAACACTGAGAGAAAAGGGGTCCTTACAGTGAAAACAGAAATAAATATAGAGGCCTTGGGAATAAATAAACGAGGAGGACTTCAGAGAAATCGTGGGTGAAGGATTTTATAAAATCCTGTTAAATGTTTTGAATGCAAATCTCCTTTGCTCTCTCTCTCTTGTGAATGGGTAGATACAAATAAAAGTCAATGTTAGTGCTGAAATGGACATGGAATTCATTTGGATAATAGCCAGAAATATCAGATAAAGAGTTTGGGTGAAATTCTTACTTACCTTTTCTTCATTTTGTTAATAACACAGACTTACATATACTACGCAATTTTTGAAAGACAAACTTCCTTACATGATTTGGATTCTGGAGATGGTGGGGAAATATTAGACACAGCAAGGTCACTTTTTGACTTTTTTGGCTTCTTTGCATTTAATTGCCAAGGTTTATCATAGCCTCTGAAATCCCTTCTTGTTCCTTTATGTTCTATTAAAACAAACAAACAAAATATATATACATCAACTCAATAACAAGTGATTTCAAGATTGATGAAATACAAAATACATGAAGTCATTAGGTATACTCATTAAAATATATAGTCACCTTATATAAAAAATAATGCAAACATCCAAAAGTATTACTTGCTTGATTTCCCATGCAAATTTTAGTCCTGAATTTGATATAAGCCAGTTTGCATATTAATATGATTAAGATCATGTTAAACTGTGAAATTATTTGAAAGGCTTTCTAAGGCATGGGTTACCATTACTTAAAATAACATTTTTAAAATGATGTCATTGACTAAAGCATGGGTTTCTGTAGTAAATAAAAACAACAAAACATCTAAGTAAATTTTACTCACTGATGTTAGCTTATCCATTATTCACTATGACACATGAAACCACTGACATTCACCCAAATTCCTTCCATAGGATCACTCATTTTTTCCACTTCTCTATTTAAGGAAGATTAATTCAACCACCTTTGGTGGAAGTAACAGTTCCCCTTCAAAGGTGGTCAATGTCATACCAACTCCCAAATTAAATGACCTTTCTAAGAGTTCATCCCACCATATTTTTATATTTCATATTTCTAGATGACTTATCTTTGTGGAAGTCTTTCTTCTCCTATTATCAGATCATTCCATTCTCCTTACCACATTTGCCTATCTGGCTATTCCTTCTCTTGCTCGCTCATTGCTTCCTCATTTTCCTCTTTCATCCAGGTGTCATTCCTCAGTTTCCTTCTGTCTTGTTTTTGAAGTTCACAAGTTTTCAAGTCATCCCAGCTTTATGAGGGACTCATACATCTTTCTCTGACCACCCACTTATAAATACCAAATAGACACTATTATACATTATATGGATTCCTCAAATGTTCACGTTAAGGTTGCACTTAACTAGCTATTTTTTATCCAATTTTTCCACCCCAACATCCTATTAAATGCCAAAAGAGGCATAAATATTCTAAAACACTAGAAACAGAAATATTGGTCTGTGGTCTGCCAGGACCCAGGAGGTATTTCTATAGAGAGGATCAAGACAAAAGACAGTCAACTCAGAAAAATACTGAAAGATTTCTAGATACCCACAGTGTATGTTGCTATCCCAGAGTTACCTCCTTATGCTGTTTCACAAACTATCAGAATTTTTTCTTTCTATATCCATCCTAGGATCTTAATTTCTTCTAATGCAATATGGTTAAAGGAATAAAGAATCTTGTTTATAAAATACAGCAACTCATGTTATAAAGAAAAGCTAAAAGGAGCCAGATAGGAATAATGTATTATATTTTGTGATGTTTGAAGTCTCCACTACTAGCAAGGAAAAAAAATTCACATTAATTTAAATAACCTAGCAATAACATTGTTCTTATTTTATTGTCTGAAAAGAGATAAGAGACAGAAAGTCACTCATCAGCTTAGCGGAGACCCACAGAATTCAAATGAGACTAGACATTTTAGTAGCAGTCATGATTTCTTCTGTCTCTTCAAAAAAGTTTTTAAAGAATTCAAAAAGATCCAAGCTATATGGTGAAGGGACAAAGAAGAGTTCACCTACACATTTATTGACAAACCTGAAACTAGATAGAATACTCCTCATTTAAACTTACATCAACAGAAAAAAAATATCATGTTAAGAAAAAAAATTTCAATATAAAAAGAATACAAGATTCAAGATTCAGGAAAAGAATCATAGTTTTAGAAAAGATTTACCATGAAAAACCTTAAAATTTTAGAATGTGGCTACTGTGTTTCCTTAATAAAAAAAATAAAAGATAATGAAGAACAAAAACTCATAGACACAGGCAATAGTTTAGTGGTTCCCAGAGGGTAAGGTGAGAGGGGGCTGGCAGATGAGGGTAAAAGGAATCAAATATATGGTGATGAAAGGAGAACTGACTCTGGGTGGTGAACACACAGTGTGATATATAGATGATGCATTACAGAATTGTACACCTGAAAGCTATGCAATTTACTAACAACTGTCACCCCAATAAACTTTAATTTAAAAAAAGTGGATTCTATGAAACAAAAAGAAATGAGAAGCGGAGATAGGCTAACATACTTATGATAAAAATATAACTGCAGACAGAAATGAAAAAAGAAGATAGGGAAACACTGACAGGAAACTAAAAATGCAATACAAGCATTTAAATTTGTGTTCAAAGCCAGAAAGAGAAAACTGATACCGCACAAAATTGAATCAGTGACACAGAAAACACACTTGACAAATAAATCTCCCAAGAAGTGAGTCAATAAAGGCAAATGCACTGTGAAATGAAATGAGAGGAATAAAGATCAGTAAAGGAAACTCAATTTACACATAGTTGATTTTCCTGAAGAAGAAGAAATCAAAGCAAATACAATACAAGCAATAACTAAGGACATTAGAGGAAAACCGTTCTAGGCTTAAGGACTGCATTTGCTGATTGAAAGGATTCACTGAATAGAAGGAGATATTTTTAAAAGGAGGCAAACATCTAGATGTACTCCAAACTTTTGAATATTGGAAATAAAGAGAAAGCAAATCTCATAAGCATTTAAGAAGACTAATTAGAATATCCAAAAAGGAATAAAACTACAGCTGCTTTCAAATTTCTCCTCGACAATATTAAATGACAGACGTTTCAAAAGATGTTATATCCAAGTTGACACATAGATACATGTAAAGTCACTAACAGAACATCTTCAGATATTTTCAAAAAGTAGTATAACTACATTGAATACTGAGACATTTTCTAGCTAATTAGAACATGCACCAAAGGAAACAATTCAACAAGTCAAGGTTTCAGCTGGCATTATTTACTGTCACCGAATTAAAATTTCTTCAGTCATATTCCTATTAAAGAACCACGCTCTGTGTTCCTTCTCCTGGTTTTCATACTCGTCCCTTCAAAAATTTTCCACTTTACCTTCTGGAACACAAACTCTATGGTAAACAAACACTCCTCTATCTTCAAATACCCCCTTTCATGTTTTGTTTTGTTTTGTTTTAGCTGAGCCATCCTGCTACCTGTTTGCAGCTCAGCAGCTGCTCAGCTCAGGCTGGACTCGAACCACTGTTGCTCAGAGCTCAAACTCTTGAGTGAGCTCTTAACCAACTGAGCCACTCAGCCGGCCCTCCCCCTTTCATGTTTAAAGAGACATCCCGTTCTTCCCACCAGACCCCTCAGTCCTCGGCAGCTTCCTGGAATGGAGGGTGTCCGTTGCTCCATGTGGTACTTGCCACAGGCTGGGTTTTCCGGGCCCATCAATGTTGAGCTGAAAGTCCCTCCCATCTTCTGATTAACGCTGCCTGTCTACACTACCCACCACGCTTCATGTCACCACCTTTCTGCCCCTGGTTGCTCTAGCCATACTCAAGACATTGACACAGTCATCCTTGACCTTTCAACAACTTGGCTGAAACCCTGGTGACTCCGTAGACACACAATACATTAAGCCTCACTCTAAAGTTCATGTCCCTGCTGCTTAAGACATCCCCAAACTAAGGCCACCAACAGGACTTCCCCGTCATCTAGAATCCTTCCATCTCAGAAGTCGCAGACAGCACAGTCTGCTGTCCTTCTGTTCCGCTCACATTTTCACTGCACCTGCACTTACACTGGCCTCCTCAAGGTCTTTCACGCTCTGATTTGCTTTTTATGTCTAAGCCTTTTCCTTTCCTTGCTCACTGTCCTCTGATACCAGACCATGTGCCTTGATCACTTGCACCATTTGCTCACAAGAGTCCCCAACCCCTTGAAAAACTGTTCTTCCAGCAGCTGGTTAGCTCAGGTGGTTAGAGCGCAGTGTTCATAACACCAAGATTGCCCGGTTCAATCCCCAAGCCCTCCACAACTACAACAGATTGAAACAGCTACTTGACTTGGAGCTGATGGGTCCTGGAAAACATACTGTTTTTATATATATATATAAATTAGAGGATGCAGACTTTAAAAAAAGTAAAAAGAAAAAGAAAAAGTGTTCTTCCGTCCACCTTCACTGTGGCACAACCACAGTTCTCAGTCGGTGCCTCCAACTATTCTCTGCTCCCCTCCTCACACTTCTGGCCACCACTGGAGAGCAATAACAATCTTGCTATGATTTCCATGGTGAATTCACACATTCAACTTCAAATGGGCCCCAGAGCTGCTTGACGGACTTTTTATCATTTTCCTTTTGCCACCTCTTTTTTTCCTTCCCCTCGGTGACTTTTCACAGTTGGCATCACTCACCTGCGTCTCTCCTATCCAATCCCAACCCTCCTATCCTCAGTGAATAACCTCCTTTCTTAATCAACAGACAAAACATTAGGCATCAGATATGATCTGACAGTGGCCTTCTCCCAGTTTATCTCATACTCAATCTATAAATTTGACCACAACGTCTTGCGTTCTTTCACTCTCATGGTTTTAATGATTTTGTGTATGATATTAAATGCCTCATCTATGACTCCTACCTTGACCCATTCCCAGAATTTCAGACTCATAACTAATTGCGTGCTGGAATTATCTACTAAAATGCCCCACAAGAAATTCATCAATAGAAACTAGACTTATTATCGTCCTTCATAAATCTATTCCTGTGTTCCCAGATTTCTTTATGAAACATTTATGTCTTTACCCAAGTCAGTAAACTGGGAGTTATAATAATCTCCTCCCCTTCTTCACCCTCTCTAAGCAATGAGTCATTAAGTACTTGTGCTAGTCAGAATTCTAAGATGATCCCCATGGTCTCTGATGTTATTATGCCTTATATAATTCCTTCCCCTTGAGTGTAGACAGAACGTTTGACTTGCTTTGAAGCAACAGAATATGGCCAAGGTCATGGGATGTCAAGGTCATAATTATGTTATGTTATACAGGACTCCATCTTATTAAACTCAAATGAGAGAAATTCCCTTGCTGGTTTTATAGACGTGAGCTGCCATAATTTGAGAGAGCCAGGTAGCAAGGAACTGTAGGTTGCATCTAGAAGTTGAGAGCAACCTCAGGGCCAAAATCCAACAAGAAAACAGGGACCTCAGTCATACAGCTGCAAGGAAATTCGTTCTTCCAGCAACCTAAATGAGCTGGGAAGAAGGTTCTTTCTTATTCCAGACTCTAGGTGAGAATGCAACCTAGCCAATATCTTGATTTCCAGACTTGTGAGATTAAACGAAGGATCTAGTTAAACTGTGCACAGACTTCTGACTCTTGGAAGCTGTGAGATACTAAACGTGCTGATTAAAGCTGCAGGGTTTCATATGCTACTATCTCTCCAGGTACTATAATTAATAAATGTGGGCTAAAATGAGCATCATTGGGCTCAGAGATGTTCCTCTGGTCTGCCTTAACATCTTTGTACCTACAAACCAGAGTCCAAACCTATACAATTTTGTTACTTAGAATCTAAACACAAGAAAGTAAGGCCAGGAAAAAACAAGAGTCTGTATGCCAAAAGCTCATATTCTAGTTTCCTGGATGACGCAGATGAGTAACGTCTGTATGGACAGCCAATACCAGAGATGTCTACATTCTTCAAGGGATACCCTAAACCCTATGCACTTCACTGTGGTTTTGAGACATGGTCTCATGTATTACTCAGCTATAAAGAAGAATGAAATCTTACCGTTTGCATCGACATGGATGGACCTAGAGAACATTATGCTAAGTGAAATAAGTCAGACGGAGAAAGGCAAGTACCATATGATCTCACTTATATGTGAAACCTAATAAAACAGAATAAGTGAGCAAACTAAACAGAAATAGACTCAGAGATATAGAGGAAAAACTGACTGTTGCTAGATGGGAAGGGGGTGGGGATGGGGGAGGAGGTAAAGGGATTAGAAAGTACAAATTAGTAGTCACAATATTGTCACAGGGATACGAAAGGCAGTTGGAGGGATATAATCAATGTTGTTAAAGATTTTGTAGGGTGTCAGATGGGCACTTGTCTTATTAGCTTCGAGTATGGTGTAGATGCCTGACCACTGTGCTGTACACCTGAAGCTGAAGCTGAATAATA